AAGTTTATTTTTGTAAATATTTTTGTAAAAGTACAAGTTTGTAATATATAGACATAATAGGTATACAGTGCGGACAAATTAATTTTTCAATATTCGAAAAATTTTTAATTATAAAATATGAATTTGAATTATATATATAATCAAATAATGTATAATTATATATAACATAATTATACACAAATATATACATATATATTAGGTTCTATATAAAAAAATTATTTAGGATTAGCCATTGTTTTTAAATGAACTACTTGCGAATTAAGCAGATCTATGCTCGTGATTTACGATACCTGGGCCCGGCGGCTAGTCCGACGGGCAACACGGAGGCTCCTAACACTGCAGCAATCCTGATTAATCCATTGTTCGAGTTCGATTGTGCAAGTTGATGAGGAAAGTTGACCAGAAAGGTGACAAATAGCAGTGGTATCATCATCGTGGCTTGACTTCCGAGTCAAGACTGGAAGGACGAAGACGTTCAAGGCGAAGCTTAGGATAACGGAACCTTGTTCGAGGTCACGGCATACTTTTCACGTGCGTGTGTGCATGTATCGTAAGTAACGTACGTTCGCCTGGTACAGCTCTGACTTTTTTACAAACTCATCGCGTCATTCGAGTTCAATACCCCCTGTGGATGAGAAGCGAGGCTGAAGAAAGTAGAGAGAAAGGCAAAAAATTATTTCGAAAATCTAAGGAGAGTCTTCTAAAATACTTCTCCGAGCCAGCTATATACAATATAATTATTTATAAATAGTTTTTTATTTGAGTCTTGTTTTTTCGATAAATTAATTTTTTCAAATTTATGAAATATTACAGAAAGTTAGCAGCTCAAATTTTCAAATGTTATTTTTTTAGTTAAATTAGTTAAATTAATAATTTTAGTTAAAACACAGAACTATTTCTAAACTCTATGGAACTATTGAAGGTAAATATAAATGAAACTTGCGTTAAAATTTGCGATGCAAAAAGATGAAATACTAACTTCACACATATCTTGGTTTATGGATCTGTAAAATTAGAACGACATTCTATTAATATAAAAAGAATAATGACAGTTTCAGTATCTCTCTCTCTCTCTCTCTCTCTCTCTCTCTCTCTCCCCTCTCTCCCTCTCTCCATGGTTCTACATGGTTTCCTTATAAAAATAAAAAAGCATTATACTAAAAAAACTAAAAATGAAAATATGCTGTACTAACTTTGCAAATCTAGCATACTTTTTTTTCTAAAGAAAACGATAAATATTATTTTTAATACAGTAAGGGAGACTGGGACTGGTTAATCATACCAGGTTGATTGTCAAAATACTTATAACTCAAACAGAACAGAAAATGACTTTTTTTACTGTAGATTGCTGATATAATTTTAATTTGTCATGTAAAATGATTTGCACCATAAGCATTGTATGTATTATTTTATTTACGGTTTTTAAGAACATGAAGTTGGTGAGTATTTTTCTTATCATCTACAAGTATAATATTGTTGCCCGACAAGTCTTTGGCATTATTAATCGCAATATCTCTGTATTCATAGATAATATGTTTTAGAAGATCTGTGCTACAATTAATTAATCATTATCCTGACAAAGTTAATAAATACAATCTTTTTTATTAAAAATTGCTATATGGGGCAAATTGATCAAAATGAGACAAGGTTAGGTGACAATTAATTTTAATATCTTTAGAGAGAATACAATTTCGAAGAATATACTTACAAATATATTATATTTCATATAGATTTATATGTTTTTTTATTTTTCATATAGAAACTACGGTACAAAAGTAAATTACATATTTTATAATTAAAATACTTATTTTATTTGTATTAATACTATAATTACTATTATTTTTTAAAATATAGAACTGACATTAAAATAAAAATTATATTTTTTTATATGTATTGTCCATAATAAATATGCTATTGCCAATCTTAACGTATCAGAACACGAAGTTAATTGTCACATTTTCACAGCTTTATTTTTACAATAACTAAATAACTTATTTTTACGATATGATGAATTCACAAGTAATATGTTTTTAATACCTAAAGAATGTAGGTATATTATAACGTATATAATATTTCAAAATCAGGCATCCACTTTTTTTTAAAATCTACTAATCAAAAACTGTGACAACCGGCCCTGGTCCTTCCTACTATTCGAATGTTTTATTAGTATTACTCGAATTCTACCAATAGAGTAAGATTAGGTAAGATTAGGTGATCTTTAAAATGCAAAAAGCATACTTTAATTTTTGTTATCTTTAATAGTGTTATATTGATATATGTTTTTTGAATGTCGGAAATAATATTACCCTATATATAATTTGAAAATCAATGTATCGATGCCTGAGCTGTAGAAGCTATATCGAGAAAAATATGAAGAAAGATCTATGTCAAGAAATGAATAAAAAGCGGTCTATTTTGCACAAGGCGTGAAGATCGGTCTATGTCGGTACACATACAAAATACGGTACGAGAAAGCAAGAAGAACGGTTCAAGTCGCATGAAATTAAAGAAGAAGTTATATAGCACAATATATTTTCTTCTCATAAATTTTATAGTGGTATGACTGAAAACGGGAATTATCTTGATTCGCAATCCTGTTTCTTGTATTCATTTATTCATATATTATTTAATTTTGCGTAACTAAATTTGTGTAATTTATGAGTAGTGAATATTGCGCTATATGGACCCTTCTAATTTCATGCGGCTTGAATCGTTCTTCTCACTTTCATGATATAAACCATACTTCGTATGCGTTCCGACATAGACCGGTCTTCACGACTTACGCGAAATAGACCACTTTTCATTCATTTCTTGACATAAACCTTTCTTCATGTTTTTTTCGATATAGCACCTTCTACGGCTCAGGCGTCGGTATATAATTTCAAAACAGTTATTATTTTTTATATATTTTAAATAAATATATATTTTATATATTTTATAGAAAACAGCATGAGATACTTTTTCTTCAAGCTTCTATATTTAAAGTGTATAAAAAGTAATTGTTGGAATGATAATTATTGGAATTTTTGTTAAATTATATATATTGGTAGAATTCGAATAGTACTAATAAGAATTGTTATCAAAAGTAGTAATTCATTGTTTTCTTGTATTTTAGAAGGGAAAATATCGTGCTAAATTCACGAAATAACACATCATATTTTCATTGTTTGTTTTTTAATATAAAAAAATGCAAAACTTTTTTTATTTTTATAAGGAACTGTAGAAATAGAGAGAGAGAGAGAGAGAGAGAGAGAGAGAGAGAGAGCGCTATTAGATCATTATTTTTTTATATTAATAAAATGTACTGCTAACAGATCCTATGTAAAAGAATATGTAACATAAAATGAAGAAGAATTTTTGATCTTGAACGTATATTTATTTAGTTACGAATTATAATATAATACAAATATTATACAAGACTGCAGCTATGTATTTACAAATAAATATTTGGAGTTCAACGCTGCTTGTCAATTTTCGGCTATAGGAACTCTTAGAATTCAGTCTATTTGTTGCATTGCATTGAGCTAGAACAGCGTTCATATGTTTATGTACCCCATTATGTAAAAAAGATGTCCAAGAGTTCGTAAAATTTTAACTAACATCGCTATTTTCTTATTCATTATTCGTATATCTTATAATACTAAGTTCACTTTGTACATTTGATCTTCCAACATCCTTTGTCTTCGCACACACAATTATTTATAACAAAATATTTACAAAAATACTATTAAACAATTTAATAGCATATGAATCAATAATGTTCTCAACGTATGCACTTGCATTTATATATTTTATCTCTTTTATTGACAATTTCGCTTAAAGAGAAAACTGCTACTCTTAAGATTTAGTTTAATATTAATAAATAAATGTAATATCAATAATAATGTGATCTAACAAATTTTATAGTAATATTTTTCTCTTTTATATAAAATTGTTCCGAAAACATATATAGTGTGTGCCAATTAGTTTTAAAAATATATTTACTGAATCTCAAACTATTTATCATGAAATTTACAATTTACTTTATTCTATAAATAAAAATAAATGGTCTTAATTTGTGATTTTTTAAAGAATTATAAATTCTATTATATTTATCTGTTGGTCATTTTTATAAAATGTAAAAGATTTTCTTAAAAATTTTTGTTGTCAAATTTTTGATAAATATGATATAATATACAATAGATAGTGTGTGTCAAGGAATGTCAAGGTGATTTGTTTGCCTTCCTAGCAACAAAACAGATGATATCCGATTCACCCTTCATCGTGTATGCTGTTGAAAACGGAAGACCACGCTCTCTCATGAGAGCAAGTAAAGTCCCTGAGTTATTCTTGCTAAGTTAAGCAAGAAAAAAAGTTCTATCAAATTTGTTAGAAGATTATCTAGCTTTTCTAAATCACGTTTGCTTTCTCTCTTCTATTTTGCGTGCTCGCATTCGCATTTTGTGCTTTTATACTAGTGTTAACACTTGGTTGACCCACAGTAGATTGTCTGTAGAGTGATTATGGTATCTGTGTTCCAAGCTAGTCTGCACTCGATCCATTAGTTTATTTTGCAATTGCTGCTTCAGGATTTTCTCCTTTATCTTCTCCGACTTCGTCAAGCCCTCCTCCATCTTATTCTTTTTTCCATTCTTTATTCGATTTCGTCTAAATAAATATATAATAGGAATAGAACAGAAGAGTACCACCATTAAGAATATAAATATCAAATTTTTCGGATCATTGATGTACTTATATAGGTCCCAGATTGATATTTTGGGACTTTTGCAGTCGCCAGTGTCGACAACGATCGGGTAACTACCGGGACCGTCGTTGGTGGCTATTCTGACCAAATATTTACCGCACGGCAAGGAAATCTGTGCCGATTCGCTGTCTGTTACCTGTAAGGATAGAAACAAGTTTCAATATTATACATGCACGAATTCGAATTATTTTAAATATCTGATTTTTATTTAGGTTTTGACATTACTTATATCGAAAGTATAGTTTTATTTGTTCGCAAAATTCAATCTTCAATTCAATATTCAATCTAAACAAGATTTATAAATATATATTTAAAAATGCACGAGATATTTATTGGGAAGAAACAATATATATTTAAAATAAATTTTAATGTCTAAAATAAATTTTAATGTTATTACTGAAATATTGCTGTCTCAACTTTTATTATTTTATTATTTCACTACTAATACTTCTTTTTTATTAAGAACTTTGTTTAGTTAAATTTCTACTTTTTGAAATTTAAGTATAATATTATATATTGTCAGAAAAATATCATTTTACTGAAAATTTTAAATATATGAAAGCGAAATACAGATGGAGAAGACTATTGTAGTAAGACTATTGTAGTAAGACTAAATGATATTTGTAAGAAACTTAATTCTAATTTGATAAAACTTTTTTATTTCTTTAACTAATTGTAAAGGATTTGAGTTTATTTAAAAGTACTTTGTGTTTCTCAAAACAATCGCAAAGAGGTTGAAATTACATCAAGTTCGAATTCTTGTGAAACATTTAATTACCTGGTTGCCCATAATACCGTCTCCCGTCTCCTGCTGCCAGGTAACGACGAAAGACGATTTATTCTGTTTCTCTTTCACGGACTGACGCTTAAAGTAATTTGAGGTAATCCTTTCGCGTTGATCCTTCAGTTGAATTTGCCAATCCTCCCATGTGATATAGGCCTGATAGAGAGGACCACCGGCTTTGAGTAATTGTAGTTTTGGCCACCACTTATCCCAACTATAATAATGATAATGATTTTATCAATAATAAATAGAAATAAGAGAAAGGAAGTTTAAAGGTATCTTATATTATATAAAAATAACGAAAGTAATTTTTGAAAGAAATGCTGTTTTGATTATAATATTCGTATTTCTTTGAAACGAACTCATCACAAACAACGATTAATAATAATCGCAATAAATGAGACAATATATTGTTTTTTATTTTATGTTGTGAATATTAAACCTTTAGGCTCTAACTGCTTTGAAACGTTTCTGTCAAGTATAAAATTTATCTTTGTTTAGACTTTTTGTATTTTCATTTGGAATTATCTTCTTATTATATTATTTATATTCTTCTTTTTCCTCTTTGTAAAAATATCGTAATGATCGCATTAAAGAAGACAAAATACCTGTAGTGTTTGACCACGCCATCATCCGTGACGACGATGATCCAGCCGCCAGGTATCATTGCAGGCTGCTGCTTTGCGTAGAAATAATTTTCTTCTTCCCATACTCCTTTCTCATTTTTTTGCATTATTACGGCAATGTCATAGTTATTTATATGGAAAGTTTTATTTTCTTCAGGAGCTGGTAATTTGGTCGGCTCATATTTGTCTTCCTCCATACCGCGTGTTTGATAAAACGTATACGCAGTTTTGCAACCTTGAATCTGAAACAGAAAGATATATTATATTATAAGATTACAAAAGAAGTGCATAAGGATTGTATTTATATTATACATTATGACATCAGTTTATATGTGAGATAATAATAAAGTTTTATAAATATATATTAATTGAATTTGTTTCTATCGATTACCGAATCAATTACTTTGTGTGATTATATAACATTTAATAAATCTTAATTTTTTGTAGGATAATTAAAATTAAAAAAGATAAATAACAAGAAATAGATAATTTTTTCCCTAAATATTGGAAAAAACCAGTTGTTTTTACTAGAGCTGACATTATCCATACATTGGATCTCCTTGAAAAACTGACAGGTAGCCGTTTTCAAGGATTTTGTCCTCTACTATACTTTATCTTTATTGTGTGAGATCGTCCTTTTTTTCCCCATAGAATTGAAAGTTATCCTCAACGACAATCGAGATTTTCCTCGCGCTTGGATGCTAGCCCTTTTGCCCCGAGGCGTAATGAAGGACGAGAAAGATCGACCTAAGTTACCTGCGCACATGTAAAAGGTTCGGAAACTCGAAGCCGCGATCAAAGATGACGATCTGAAACTGCGCGTAAATCCGTTTCGAAAAGATTTTAAAAAAAGATATAGCTGTGATACGAATAGTGTCTTTCAAATTCCACTCGATTATATATTATATTATTTATATTTTTATTACAACAAATATTATATAAAAATATTAAGAATAATGTAAAAATATTTAACTATATATTAGTTTCATATTTTTATTGTATTCTAAATATTTTTATACATTTAGTATTTGTTACAATAATATTTTACAATTAATTAATTAAAAAAGGAGGAGTAAAATATGAACAAAATATAATAGATATGTTTGTAAAAATAGACAGATTAAATAAAATATATGAAAGAATTAAGTGTATCTACTACATAATATATATATTATGCAATAGATACAGTTAGTTTTTTCATATATTTTATAAAATTTTTACATTTCGTTAAACTCGTCAACATATATATATATATA